AAAATAAAATAAAAGGATGCCTTTGATAAAGGTAATAGAAAATGGATTTTTGGAAATAGAATAATATGCTTAAGTAAAATTGAGATGTCACGTTAGTGCTTTAGACTTACAAAGAGTAACATTGTATATTACTGAAATTATGGAACGTTGATAAGTATTATGGAAGATAGAGCACAGTATAAGCCATTAGGAGACAGGTCCCAAGCTTAGGCAAACTGTTAGAATTGGCTTTATCACCTAACATATTTGAGTCTTTTTTAAACAATTAAGTCATTTAAAATGGATTGGAATGACTAAGAGGAAATTGCAGTATATAGACTTGCAGGTTCCTTTTTCTATAATTCTTTGATTTTTGTAGGGTTGTTTTATGATATATTTCTTTATTTTATAGTACTGGAGTTGAACATGGGGACTTTTATGTGCTGAGCAAGCACCCTACCAACTAAGCTATATCTTGATGTATTTCTTACATTGCCTTTTGTCTGAGTAGTTATTGAAGAAATACTTGAATGAATGAATAAATGTGTAAATGAGCTGTTTCAGGAAACCTAGATCTGTCAGAGCATGAGACATACTCAGTTAACCATTTAACTTTTTTGTGTCTTAATTTCTTTATCAATGAAAAGAGCACCTTAGAAGGATTGGGATGACTTGTAAGGCCACTTTAAAATTCTGATTACATGTTCAGAGTTTAATATTTATTGTCAAGTATCTGGAAGATAATTATAAGGCTTTGTGTTAGGCTGTAGGGTAGAAAAATGAGAAAACAGTTCTTGGTTTTCCAAGGATGAACACAGATGTAACTGTCAAATGAAGCCTGTTTTATGTAGACTGCTTCAAGATGTTTTTACAGGAGTAAAGTAGAATACTTTATTGTGCCTAGAGTTTCAAAGGTGGATTTTTTCAAGAGACACCTGAGATTCCACTTTTTCTTTTATACCTGGTGTTTTTCTTATTCCTTTCATGTGCTATCTTGAAGAAATCAATAAGAACTTAAAACTTAGTTAACATCCCTTATAAGGCCAAGTTACATTTATAGCATTTTGAGATGTGAGTCTCTGCGTTCTAGTATGAGAGCTGAACCTACTAGAATTGTTTTTTTGTTTGTTTGTTTGTTTGTTTGGATAAAATAAATAAAATTGAAATGATTGAAATTATCAATGACATGATTAACGTTTCAAAAGATTTACTATTAGTTACAGCTTAATGTAAGAACTAGAAATGACTCTAGGTATTTAAAATATAAAGATACCTAACACAGAATTGGATGCTTATGGTACTTTAATTTTTTCACTGTTGGGTCTCAAAACCAGGGCCTCATACATTGTAGGCAAGCATTTTACCAACTGAGCTACATCCCTAGTCTTCATATGTTGAAACTTAATCCACAATGAAGAATTAAGCTTTGGGGAGGCAGTTTAGTCCTTTCTAAGCTGACAGAGACCCATAGAAGATTGTGATCTTTCCTGCTGTATATGGACACAGAAGGCATCACTGATAAGGAATGGCTATTGAATTTTCTGGCACGTGATCTTGAACTTCCTAGCCTCCAGAACTAAGGAAAATAACTCTCTGATTGTAAATGATCCAGACTGTGATATATAATATTTTGTCAACAGCCCAAATTTTTGTCAGCAGCCCAAACAGACTAAGCCAGGGCTAGTGTTATCTTCTGCTCTGTGTTGAACTAGAATTTATGTGTTCCTGCTAATAACCCATTTCAAGCATGTGTGTGTGCATGTGTGTTTGTTTATACAGTATTTTTTCCCTTTATTAACCAGGAGAGACCTTAGATTCTACCTTGTAGTGACAAGAAAAATCACTAATAGTTAATAAGAGCAAATGCTGAGTTTTCATTCTTAATTTTTCAGGTTGTTGCAAGACATGAAGATTTACTGGCTCAAGCAACGGGGATTGAGTCTTTGGAAGGTACATTTTGATTAACTATTCCAGGTGAAGTGCAGTTAGACCAGGGATCAACAAGTGTTTTCAAATGTGAGAGCTGGATCATATGTACTTTCAGACTTTGTGACCATACAGTCACTGTTGCAGCTACTAATCTCTATGTTCTTTGACATTCTTATCAATGAAACTATAGTAAACTAACATTGAGTTTTTATTGGTATGAATTCTGTTTGACTAAACCTTTTATGAATTTTTCATTCTTTTCTGAGTAAACTACATTTTATAAATACGAAATGTTGCTATTGTGTTTTTCATTATTATATTACCATTAATCAGACATCCAAATAAAGTTAATTAATTTTTTTTTCCTACCCTATGCTGATCAAATTCTTTTCCTTTTTTTTTAATCTTCTTTGAGACAGGGGGTCTCCCTGTAACCCCAGCTGGCCTGGAACTCACTATGTAGACCAGGCTGGCCTTGAACTCAGAGAGATCCACCTGCCTCTGCCTCCCAAGTGCTGGGACTAAAGGCATGTGCCATCCCTCCTGGCTGGCTTTAACATTCTACAAAGAAAATAAAAGAGGTGTGGAAGAAGGGGAATCTTGTACTATCTCATTGGAGAGAAGGCTTTCTTTTTTTCTTTTCTTTCTTTTTTTTATTCAATAACCACACGATTAGAAGAAGCATTTCATTACAGCTTTAACATATTCAATAACAATTTCCAGAGGAAGGATACATCTCTTTCAAAAGTGGCTGTAAATTTTTAGGTTCTTTTGAAAGGATAACTGAGTGATAAGAAGCTAGCCTTTAGAGCTCTAGAGAGAAGAGTGTTCAGAGCTTAGGGAACAGCCAGTGGGAGGAGACATTAACTTGATATGTGTCAGGGGTAGAAGGAAGACAAGAATGACTTGTGAATGAACTTAGTGAATGAGGAAGAGAATCACAGATGAAGGTGGTGGAAAGGAAACTTGATTCATTTGAAGTGCAGGAGTAAACCATTAGAGAGTTTAAATCATAGTATTCTATGATGAGATTAATGTTTCAAGGACGTCCTCTGCTGGCTGTACAGAATACCAAGGGTGGGATCAGGAATTCTAGTTAGGTCCCTAATAGAATAGTTGGAATTGATGATGTCTTGGATTCACATGATGGATATAAAGAGAGAAGTTGATGGGGTAAAACAGAAGCAGACCTGAGAGAAGAGACACCACAAGTGATGGTTTTGATAAATAACTGGATGTAAGTAACCGAGATGGGATAATTGCCTAGGATTGTGACTTCTGATATGGTTGGCATATTGCAGAAGTCACTGGATGTATTAAATTTGACAGACCAAAATTTAGGACTAGAGATTTTATATATCTGTATATAGGGAGATGCCAAGAAAATCTTCTTCCCCCTGTGTATTTATTTACATATATGTATGAAAATCAATATTTTGTTGGAAAGATAGCATTTAAACATCGGGATTGAAAAAACTGTAAAGGAAGTAGATGAAGAGAAGGTGACTGAGGCTTAAGTCTTGGAAGAATTCTCCAACATGTAGAAATCTAACAGAAAAGTAGGAGTGCCCAGAGAGACAGGAGGAAACTAGGTGAGTGTGATGACTTGAAAGCAGGGAGAGAAAAACCTGTGGATTACAGTTTTAATATAGGAGTGAAGAGACCATGGAGGGATTTTAAGTGGAAGGTTATGATACAACTTGAACTTTTAAATACCAATCAAGGCTTTTCTTTATAATTGGGGTAAAGTATGCATAATATAAAATTTACCATTAGAATTTAAATTTTAAACTATTTTAAAGTATATAGTTCAGTGGTACTGAGTGCATTTAGTCTTGTGTAGTCATCAGTACTGTCCAGTTCCAGAACTATACCACTCCAGATGGAAAACCCTATGAGCAGTAAGCAGTAAGAAGTCATCAGGCTTCTTTGATGGGTCAGATATTGGAGAGGGAGGCTAGTTATAGGCTTTTATAAGAGTGAACACAAAAAATACATTGGTTGCTTGGATCAGGATGATGGTAGAAGAAAAATTGTATTGGTATATACTTTATTTTAGTTTGATTTTTTTTTTTTGATCCAGTGTGAGTCTTATAAATTTGTGAAGCCAACATGAATTGTTATCTTTCCTAGGTGTTCTTCAGATGATGCAGACAAGAATTGGGGCTTTACAGGGAGCTGTTGATAGGTACTTTTGTTCACTTTTTGAGTATATAAGATGAAATTATATGTAAAGCAATGGGTGGAAATAGTTATGTATATATATATATACATGTTAAAATTATTTGTGTGTGTGTTTGAGTGTGATGTTTTTGTGTACGTGTGGTATATGTACATGTGTGTATGGGTGAATGCACAGAGGCCAGAGGTGGATGGATATTGGGTGTCCTGTCACTTTGTCTTATTTGAGACAGGGTTTCTTACTGAACTTGGAGTGAGGCTGGTGGCTAGTGAGCCTCGGGGATCCTCCTATCTCCTCCCACAGTGCTGGGGTTACAGGTGCAAGTATAGCCATGCATAGCTTTTTATAGCTGCTGGGATCTGAACTCAGGTTTTTATGCTTGTACAGAAAGCACTTACTCACTGAGCCATGCCTCAACCCCACTGATATTTTGAAAATGATTTTATTCTCCTCTCTTTTTTTTTTGTCTTAGGATGAAATCAAAAATTGTTGAACCATATAATAAAATAGTAGCCCGTACTGCACAACTGGCAAGACTTCAGGTAGGTTCTGACTTGTGCTGCTTTGTCTTCATTTTTCATGTTACCCTGAGGTGGTTGGGTTAAGGCACTCAGTAGCTGCTGCTTTTTTCTCTAATCCCCTATCTTTTTTGATCTCTGCCCTGATTTCTGCTGTTGTAAGCATTGAAGGCCTCCTCTACCATGGCATCAGGCATTCCATCTCAGGCTTTTGTGCTCTAAGTATCTAGGGCAGCTTATTTCATATAATTTTTAGCCATTGAGGCTTTTCCCACCAATTCTGATTTAGCATTGGTGAATTTTCAGAAGTCATCAATAAATGGTTGGAGAAAATCACAATATTCTCTTCCTTCTTCTTGACCCTGTCATAGTTGACAGACTTAAGTAGATATCCCTCTCTCCTTTTTTAATCTTGAGGTAAGTTATGAGGTATACTCTATTAACTCTATGAACAGAATCCTCAAAGTCCCATTTAGGGTCTATTTGGGGTCCAAAATAGATATTTTCCTAGGTATCTGACCATTATGGACGAGGGTATTGGTTGCTAGTCCACCTGCTACTTCAATAACCTTTTGAATACTTCACTCTTTCCCATTGGGAACGCAATAATGAATTAATGCTGAGATAACTTGACTCCAAGCCAGGGACAGATGTGAAGCTCACCTTAAGGAATTCATCCCCGAATCTATTATGGTTTTTCTGAGAAATCCTTAAACTGGACCATGCCTGTAACTGTAAAGGAGACATTCACTTTGATATTCTCTTCATGTCCATCCAGTGTGTCCTATAATGAGAACAAATTCTCTTGATTAGGGTTGGGTGACCCTAATCAAGTTTGTTTCCTAAACTCAGTCATTGGACTGAAGATAGTCCAATGGGATTGGCTGGGTAGAGGGTCTAAAAGGCGAAACTGTACTTATCTTACGTGAGGAGAAGGAGTCAGGAGAGGGAGGTGCGCAAGTGAGAGCTGTCTGTTAGTTCAGTAGACAGAATAGGTGGTTCCACTTTGGGTTCCACAGGTACTAGGAATGGCAGAGGTGCAGAAGTCTGTGGACAGGGTATTGATTAGAGGCAGGAGTCATTCATAATGTTTGGGTCAAGTTTTGTAGGTCTGGAGGGCTTAGACACTATAGCCACATAAACCTAATAGTCTTTTTAGTCTAGAGTCTTGATATAAAGGTGGGGACAAAGGGATTTTCTTCCTGCTTTCCCTTCATTAGAGAACAGATTGAGCTGGTGAGTGGTATTGTTTAGAGGCCTATTCTTTAGCCATTGTCCTTGATCTCCTAATTTGTATCGAGGCCAGCCAATATTACAAAATGAAAATCAAATTTCTTTTCTTAAAACTTTCAAACTTAAATTGCCCCAGTTAGCAGTTGAGCATCTGAGTGGTGAGTCTTTTGTAGAACCAGTGTCTTAGTTTGTTTCTTCATTGCTGTGACAAAACACTCTGACCACTACCAACTTGGGGAGGAAAGAGTTTATTCAGCTTACATCTCCCAGGTTGCAGTTCATCAGGGAGCCCAAGGTAGGAACTCAGGGCAGGAACCTGGAGGCAGGAGCTGGAGCACAGGCCATGGAGGAATGCTGCTTACTGGCTTGCTCTCCTGGCCCCTGCTCAGCCTGCTTTCTTATTCAACACAGGCCCACCTGCCCAGGGGTGGTACCACCCACAGTGGGCTGGGCCCTCCCACATCACTCATCAAGAAGATGCCCCTCAGACATGGCCACAGGTCCAGTCCAATATATTGAGGCAATTCCCCAATTGAGGCTCCCTCAACCCAGGTGTGTCAAGTTGACACTAAAGCTATCCAGCACAACTGGGAATGTTTTACATGCTTTCACATCACACGAGAAACAGTAAAGACAGTGTCTTGCAAAAGAAGAGGCAGAAGCAGAGCTACATTTCAGTGTGGACATAGTCCATATAAAGACAATATTGGGATGTCTAAGAGAGTGATTACTGCCACTGATTCTGACAGCTTTCAGATCCACCATAATAAGGAAGAAAAGTAGTTATAGAGACTTAAAAAAACCCATGTGCATCAAACCAAACCAAAAGAGTTCCTATAAGGGTTATTCAATTGGTGCAACGAGTCTGTAGGCTCTAATACTGGATTCACACTGGAACTGTCACAGCCTCAACTTCCCTTCTCTATGCTATAAAGGTTACAAATAGAAACAGGGAGCAAAATGAACTAGAAGAAAAGTTGACTTCAGAATAAGATGACAGGGTTCATGGCATTGTTTGGATTGTGTATTACTTTCATGTTGTTGTGACCTAATACCTGACAAGAAGCAACTTAAGGGAAGAAGGATTTATTTTGGCTTATAGTTCGAGGAGATACATACTGTTCATCATGGCAGGGAAGGCATAGTGACATAGAGTGAGACAGCTGGACACATGTATCTGTAGTCAGCACGCAGAGAAAGATGGGTTTTGGTCCTCAGCTTGGTTTGTCCTCTGTTCAGTGTATGACTGTAGCTCACATTCTGGGTGAGTCTTCCCTCTTCAATGAAATCTTTCTTGAAATACTCTTAAAGAAATACCCAGAAGCATGTTTTCATGGTGATTCTAAATCTAGTAAAATTGATAGTTAAGTTCACCATCACAGATTGGGAAGGTCTCACAGCCAGGAACAACTGGGGTAGAACCTATTAGTCTTGAATGACTCTGAAGTCAAGGTTCAGGTGGCTACATATCATTCATGAGGCAAGTCTGTGCTGATCACCACAGTTGTCAGTGTTCTTTTTCAGGTTCCTCTAAAGAGAAAATAGCTGCTAATGAATTTACTAATGAATAGAGGGTTCTTTTGTCCAATTTAGAGAGAAATACAGAAAGGTAAAGTATAGATCCCTTTATTTAGTTTGACCAGCTCTCACTTTTACTGGCTCTTACTAACGCCAGCTTTAGCCAAAGGTCCCTCTCTGCTTAGTTTGAGGTAGAAATGGTAAAGAGGAGGTGAAACTGAATGAAGCTTTGTTGGAGGTTGGAGGGGGGAGGGGCTAAGCTGAATCTCAAGGGAGGTAATACACAAAGCAAAGTTTCCATGGTTTGACTCTCTAAGGATGAGTGGAAGGAGGCCTGGGTTCACATAAACAATGGACAGTCAGTTCTTAGCCACAGAATGGCTGCACTGGCATGCTAGTTCTTTGCTCACAGCTGGGGTTTGCAGTGGCTATGGCGAGTTGCTCATATGTAATAGGTTTCTATACACTCTGCTTCCATGGTGTGTGGGAAGTTCTTATTACTGCACCTGAGGAGACTGCAGAAAAATCCTATGCATGTCCATAGGGAAGCAAGTGGTGATTTAGAGGTGATGTTGGCAGCAGTGGAGCAGAAGCAGTGGCAGCTGTTGCTGTAGCAGCGAGGCAGTTGGAGGAAGAGTAAATGTGCCAGTGGCTGAGCTGGTGGTAGATATGGCAGCTGCAAAAATGGCAGCATTACAGCTGCAGTGATGATAGCTTGGCTGGGAGTGGGGGCTGCAAATGTGGCAGCAGTAGCACCCTATCCTCATCACTGCCCCACTCACACCTTGGTGGTAGTGGCTGCTTGCCTAGTGGCTACTGGCCTAGAGCTGGGCCCTGGGTGAGTGGAATGGTGCCCACTCTTGCCAGCCCTAGGCATCTTTAGAAGTCTGCAGACAACCTCTGAAAAGAAAAACAGGAGAAAACAGAAAAATAACAGAAAATAGGAGTTGGACTCTCCTATTCTTACGAGAATAAGTTTTGTGAGTATACAAGGATTTAAGCTTTTAATCCTCTTGGGTATGTACATTGTTGAGTATATATGCTAGGTTATGTGATAACCGTTTAGCATTTTGAAGAATGCCAAACCATTTCCAAGGGAGTTGCCCTGTTTCCCATTTAACCAGGGACGTGTGGAGATGTCAGTGTCTCTATTTCTTTCTTTCTTTTTTTTTCTATTTTTGTTAACATTTGTTTGCTTTTTAATTGGCCCATCCTGTTGGTTATGAAGTAGCATGTCATTGCTTTCTTTATTTGCATTTCCCCAAGGACTAATGATATTGAGCATGTTTTACTGTGTCTGCTGCCCACTTTTTATCTTCTTTGGAGAAATGCCTATTTAAATCCTTTGCCAATTTTTAAATTTTGTTATTTGTTCTGTTTTCCCTTTGTGTTAATGGGTTTTCTGTTACTGTTGCAAATAACTGAGCTAGTCAGCATATAAAAAGAAAAAGTTTAGTTTATTTCTGTTCATAGCTTTGGAGGTTTCAGTTGATTTCATTGCTTTTGATTCATTGTGTTACTGTACACCTTAGTTGGAGCATTTAGTATTGGAGGCTGTTTTCTTCATGGTGAGTGAAGTAAAGAAGAGAGACCAACATCTCACTGTCCCCTTTAAGGGCAATTTCCCAATGTCACAGAACCATCCTAACCCTAACCCTAACCACAACCCTAACCCTAACCCTAACCATAACCCTAATGCATTCCTCCTTATAGAATTCTTCATCACTGTCTGCATGGAGTAGATGCCATACCATAGTGCTCCAGCTCCCAAATTAGCTATTTAAAATTTTTTTTATTACCGTAGTGTGTGTTTGTGTGTGTGTGTGTGTGTGTGTGTAAGTCAGAGGACAACTTGTGGGAGTTAGTTCTCTCCTTTTACCATGTGGGTCCTTGGGATAGAACTCAAATCTTCAGGTTAGGCAGCAAGTACCTTTAATGTATTGAACCATCTCACCAGCCCCCCAAATTAGCTATCAAGAAGCTCTCATTCCGACCATAGTTTTTTGAAGGTAGTCTGTCATTTTTCTTTAGTTTCTTTTAAGATCATCTCTTTAAAAAAAAATTCCCTTTAGTTTGAGAATTTGATGTCTTTTAATTCATCTCACTTTCAACTCATTTCTTTTACTGTGTGAATTTGTCTCTTTCATAATTTATAAATTTTTAATTTTAAATTTATGTGTATGTATGTATTTCTCTGTATGTATGAGCACTGGTGTGTAGGTGCCTGCAGAGGCCATAAGAGGGTATTGATTCTCTGGAGCTGGAGTTATAGA